GTACATGTAAATAGTAAAGTGTACTGTAAAAACATTTTTGTAATTGAATTTTCCAAGTATCACTCTGTCTTTAGAAAATATAGATATAAATAAATTTTTAATTTTATGATGAATCGATCAAACAAATGAGAAATTTAAATTTGAGCCTGCACAAAAGACCAATAACGATATATGTGCATGTGAATTTTAATCACTGGACAAATCGTGGCATCATTATCTACCCGCAGATGGGACACTTGATCGTTCCGTCGATGTGCGGGCCATGTATGCAACGCGCGCAGAAGGTGTGGAAGCAAGAGAGCAGGCAGGGCTCGTTGTAGTAATCGTGGCAGAGACCGCAGGTGAGGGGGTTCCTGGGCCCGCCGCCCGGCACGCCCGTCGTGCCATCGTCGCCGACCCCATCACCGACCGCCGAGCCCGAGCTCGCCATCGTCGTCGGCGTCACTCGGCCACCCTGAGCGCCCGTTGACCGCGGACGCGCGCGAACCACGACACGCGCCTTCCGCCCTCCTTCACGACACCGCTCCCTGTCCCATGCTCGCGTACCCCTCTGCAGCAAAGAACGGATGCGGTTTATCGGGATGCTGCGCGCGCGTAACTTACCGCGAGACAGCATGGACAAATCGGCATCCACGCGACAATGGGATGGTGACGCGAATATCGCGGACAACGAAATTTAGAATGATGTTTACCCCTAGACGGCGCGTTGGCCCGCCCGCAGAGAGCCCCGACCAGAGAGGGTGGTTTATCGGTTGCTGCTCGCTCGGCCCGTCATTCTGACGTAGCGCGCGCTCGCCGCGACCAGCCTTTGCGTCTCTGCGCAACTGACGATTACTGAGCACTGACGTCACCATCGCCTACCGCCCCTTTCTCATCCCTCACATACACACACACACACACACACACATATATATATATATATATATATATATATATATATATATATGTACGGCGTGCGTGTGTATATGTGTGTGCGATACATACATGTACGTGCACACCTACATGTGTGCCTACGTACAGAGAAATTCGTACAGAGGGTCGACCCGGCTTGCTCGCCCTCTCGTTTCTCGCTTCAATCCCGTTCCGCAGCCTGCACCACCCACGTTCGTGTATGTGTATACATATACACGTACGTAGGCATACAAATGTATATATGACGACGATATTGGTGCAAGAAGGTATAAGCAAACGCCCGGGACGGAGAGCAATGTCTAAAAAAAAACGCATTAATCGTGTAATTTTTTCCCTCTTTAAATGTTTGTGACGATGTTTCTCTACTTACATCACATTTTTCTCGCTCTTACGCATGTATAAATGTATATTTGGTTTTCTACAATATACAGATGATCCATCCTCCTTTTTCCGAAGAAATTCTTCGAAATAAACTAGTAGGATCTATGGAGAATACATCGCGTATTTGGGGCGAGGGTTTGCGCCTTTCGACACACGATACTTGTATTCCACATGCACACACAGGCAAAGATGTTTCTACCATCGTTCTACTTTCATTTTATCTTACTTTTTATTTTATTCAGGAAAAGCGCGCTGCTTAACGGAAATAAGATACTGAAATGCAAAAAATAAATTTAAACGATATAGAAACGAGATTTTTATTATTATGTATATTTATCTTTATATTTATTTATCTGATTATTATTTATGTATTTTATCTATACGCGCCGCGAAATTGCAGTCCATAATCACAAATTTAAATCGGAATAATCGCAATATTATTATTTTTTTTCTATTCAAATAATTTCAGAATTGTTGCGAAAACTAATTGACTGCTAACTTGTTATTACCATAACTGACAATGTATATTACTTAATTACCTCTGTAACAGTATCATATAGCAGCTTTTTTCAGCTCGTTCCATTGTATCCATAAGTACGTACCTCCTCAAACGGGTCATTGGAAGTCGACTCTACATGACCCCTCCGTATTCTCTCCAGTTTGAAAGCTGGACAATATACTTTCTAGACCCGTTGATGCATACCCGGTAAATCCGATTGCCACTCCACAAATGCATCACCGCAGAATAAATTGAGAGAGATTGCGTTCAAACTTTCTTTCCACATCGCGTCGCATCTTTTATCGCAAGCGCTCTCGTTTCCTATCTAAATCTCAATTATCCAATTACCAAAATTATCCTTCCACCTATATATCTCGGTTCGAGTTTTCTCCACACTTAAATTCTGATCTCTCTCGATTATCAAATAAAGATATTTGATATAATTCCAGAATCTATCCATTATTCGCCGTCCCGTTATTCCTTCCTGCTGTTGAAAAACATTTCTGTGTTAATTAATTGCGCAACGCGATCGAATTAACAATCGCAACGAAGAATTTTCGCTCGTATCGCAGTTAATAAAGAAGAAATATATTCGTGATAATGGGAGATAATTGTATAGTGAAAGGGAATATTGCGGCCTTTCGATGGATATAATTCCTTCTGCATTTTCGTAAGAATTCCGGACTATGGCGCTTTGTAATTTCTGCGTCGCAAAGTTCTCTATTCATCGGCTTTACGACGGTCGATTCATGGCAAGAGCGACGCGCTTCCATTGTCGACGATTCGCGGTTTAACCGGATGCATCTGTGCGGCTCTTTTATTCTCTGTCTCTTGCACTGCATGCATTATATGCATATATATGACGTTAATATTAAAAATATAAAACCTACAAATTCATTGAATTTATGTGTTATTAAAGAAAAAAGATGAAAGAAATCGCGAACTTTTTAGCAATATAAAAATGTGTAATTTAAAAATTCAATTTTAAGGAGTAACTGGACGGATCAGTTAATAAATCTAATACATTTCGAGATTCCCATGAATTCGATGTTGCGCACACACACATGATGAAGCCCTTTTAGCCTTTTAAAATATAAAATTAATAATTAATTTATGAATTAAAGTAAAGATTCGCCCTGTAAAATTAAATTCTTTTTCATAAATTTTTGTGTATAGTCACTATAAAATTTTCGAGGTACAGTCACTATAAAAAAAAAAGTTAATTCAATATATATATAGTATAAAATAATATTTACGACTTTGAAATGAAATTATATTCTACGGGGCAAATCTGAATTTTTACTCACAAATTAATTATTATATATTGCTATATTTTAAAAGGCTAAAAAAATATATTAGATTATATAAATATTATATAAATATTATATAATAAATATTATATAATTATTATACTACTATTATATATTAGATTATTATTATTCGAAATATATTAGATTTATTAATTTTAACGCAGCTGATCCATCAAGTTCCTCCTTAAACGACTTATTGACTAATGATCGAACTACAAAAAATTTTACCAGAATAAAACTCGAGAAGTGCGAAAATAAAATTCGGGAAAAAATTCATTCTTAGAGGTTCCTTCTCATAAATATTCGTAGTAGCTCTAGAATAACATTTTTGACACAGCTGATCCGTCCAGTGTCCAGTTCCTCCACGGACCTGAAGTTCCTCCTTATAATATTGCGCGATTGCGCCCCCATCGGAAGTCGGAAGTTCGCCAGTGTTTACAATTCAGTGATTCAAAGATATGGCGGATCAATAATTTGCGTTCGCGTCGCGCAGGTAGTAATTCTAGTTTATTCTGTCAATTCGTTGTGCCTAGGTATGCCGTCCCGAGGAGAGGATATCCTCAAAGGTTTTCAAGTGTATCCTTTGAATATAAATTTTAGCGCAATTTCAAAACGAAAGAGTAGAGTACATTTGACAAGTCTGACAGGTTAGAATCAGGCTTTAGAGATTCAAACAATTATGCATTTTATCCAGAATAATGTCGATTTTTTCATTCAAAATAAAGAAAAATATGTCTTCTTAATTCCATTTTATTTATCAGTAATTGGATGAATTTGCGTGATGCCGATAACGGGAAAATTTTATGGCAGGGTAACGAAGATTTGTAAGTAGTTTATAAGTAGTTTAGACTTTTATGAACATTTTTTAATAAATGATGATGATAGATTAAATCTCCTAAATTATTTTTATGATTATAGATCTGTACCTGAGGTAGAACATGAAGCACGTGTACCAAAAAAAATTCTACGATGTCGTGCAGTATCGAGGGAAATTAATTTCAGCTCTGCAGAGCCGATGGAAAGGTTTCGCTTGGAACAAAAAGTATTATTCAAGGGCCGTTGCTTAGAGGAATGGTTCTTCGAATTTGGATTTGTTATTCCTAACAGTACCAATACATGGCAGAGCTTGATTCAAGCTGCACCGGAGAGTCAAATGATGCCAGCGAATATATTAAAGTAAGTGGAGATATGTTGCTAATTGTTTAAAGATTTGTAGATTAATTACGTATGTTTCTTTTGTGAATAGCGGCAATGTTGTAATAGAAACAAAGTTCTTCGACGATGATCTATTAGTGTCTACCAGTCGAGTCCGTCTCTTCTATGTCTAAAACGATTTCCGAACGGTCCTCATAATCATATATAACAACGGGACCAATCAGTGTGAACAGGTTTTACATAAAAATAGAAGAACACACGCAAACAGGTTCTTACAAACACGGATCAATTTTCATCTCTCTGATCTCTTACATCATATATTTTTTATGCATGTATTAGCGAAATGATTTTGACAATCTCATAATTTTAAGGTAATTTACACTGTTAGAGAGTTCAAACACGCAAAATTATTAATAAAGTTTTGCCAAACAATGGCATTTCTGTTCAGACACGGCCTAATGTATCTAGATTGCGTCTTTCATTCTTGCAAGGGAGAGACATACCATGCACTATTAAGGCACATGATTTATTATTTATTAAGCATTTAAATAAATATGTTAAGTTTTGTACATATTGTAATACACCAAGCAATAAAGTTCTAAAAGAAGTTCAAACTTTGTGTGCATTTTATTTTTATAATCTATTGAGAGTACTGCTAAACAGTAATATCTATTAATTTAATAATAATGTTTATGAATCTTTTTCAAAAAAATTACTGGTGTAAATTGACAAAGTTTGCAGCAATTATATCTATAATCTTGTTAGCATATGTGAAAAGTTGTTAAATCTTCATTTTCATAAATAGCCGATATCTGTTGCTGTAAAAATGCAAATTAAAAAACTGTAATGTAAATGCAATTGTAAACGTTGTAAAAGTCGATTCATCATAAAGCGCATTGAAAAATACAAAACTACTTTCATCGCACGGCTGCACTATAACGGTTGTACTATTGATTAGTGATGCACAAGCAACACATTTTTTAGGCTTCACCACATCCCTTGAGGGAGTTCATGAGTTTAGTACATTCTATCCCCTACTTTGCCTATACGTCGTATACAGGTGTAAGGAAAAGAAAGGAGAGAACGAAGGACGAGGAAACGTCGGAGTTGCTGCAGTTAGCTCGAATCTGAACAAACTTCTCATCAAGCGATCAACTTGAGCGTCGTAACACGCGCGATTGATTCAATTAATATATCCCCGACTCTTGTCGACCTTTTTCTCGACAAGGAATCAATTCTCGCAGAATGGATCTAAACGAGGAGGATGAGAGCGTGAATGAAAGCGGCAGGCAGTTATTTCTGGTCACGGGTGCGCCGCGCGATCCTCTGGTATCAGCCAGTGCAATCGTAGCATCGGCAGCAAGTGTCCCGGATGATATCAACCAGAGTGACGATCTGCAGTCGAGCGCCTTGGCCAGTCTGATCGGCAGCGCGCAATCCACCTCGGTTTGCTTCCCTACGAAATTCAGTAAGTGTATACGACGTTGTCGCGTGTGTTGTGTCAACCCCCGGACCTGATTTAATTAACCGCCTCCTATCTCCGCCGCCGGCTCCCCGAAGTTGGGGTAGTGTTGCTCAATCAAGTTATTGCTAAATGCATTAAATGGATCATCCACACAGCCTACTCTTTTTCTTAAATAGAATTAGCGGTAATCAGTTTAACAGTTATGAAGCGGTTGCCATCTCTCTGTGCGATGAAACATTGGAAACGCGGAGTGAAATCCGATGACGATGTCGTGAAATCACGTCGTGATGGCATTAAGATAATTCTAATGCATCACTGATATTCGCGAATTCTATTCCAATGTTCTTGTTTTACTTAATAGTATTATAGTATATCAAAACAGTCTTGTCAGATCACGCCGAAATGAATTGTATCTTCTTGTAGCGTATGATTTCTCGACTAGTTCTGAAAGCGAAGAGAGGCCGTCTTGCGTCATCGGCAAGAGAAAGCAGCGTAGATACCGCACCACATTTTCCAATTTCCAACTAGAGGAGTTGGAACGTGCTTTTCAAAAGACACATTATCCGGACGTATTCTTTCGCGAGGAGCTCGCAGTTCGTATCCAATTGACAGAAGCTAGAGTACAAGTAATTCTATATATTTCTATGTATATCTATCTTGTTATATATGTTCTGGAATATTTATGTATTTATATATGTGTAATTATACTTTTCCTGCAATATACAAATAGGTATGGTTCCAAAATAGGAGAGCGAAATGGCGCAAGCAGGAGAAGCAATGTAAAATCGCGACTCACGTGACGTCACATTTACCACCGTCGGATTGTCAAGATGTACAGCAACAACACCAATCGCAGCAACAGTCAGATCATCTGTTATTGGAATCACCATGCAGTCCACCTCCTATATACCTCGGCATGGAATGGGCAGGTTTCTCTCCTTACAACAACGCAGACAGCGCGTCACCCCTTATCGTGAATAAGCCACCGGATGCAGAAACTGACAATAATTCACTGCTCGATCCAGAATTATTACAACTAAAACCTCCACGTTCCTAATAATATATTAAGATTATATATATAACATATATAACACATATTTTATTCACAATATTGATAACACTCCACGTTTTCTGAGAAGAGAAAGAGTTACGTGATATATTAGATATAATGTAAAGAATTTGTAATAATTTTAAGCAATGAAAATATTTGCTATAAAATTGCATGAAAGTTTGTAGGCCATTATTATGGATTATCTCTAACCATGAATGAAATGTATTTTGAAGATAAGAAAGAAAGATCAAGATTTTAATATTAATTGCATAAAGATGTATACGATACTATTTAATTTAAAAATAACCGCGCGCGAAATCTTATTACACATATAATATATTGATTTATTCGTTAATAAAAAGAAATTATATTGCAATTAGCTTTCTTTTAGATCAAGAAGAGTTATATAGATTTTGGAAAAACAAAGATGTAGTAAATTGCTCTATTTCAGGTAAATTCTAATAAATATAGATTCTATAAAGAAAGTAATAAAAAAATTTCTATTACATAGAAAATTATTCTTTCCGCGAGACATGTTACTCCAATATAAAATAGTAACTTCATCTTTATTCAGTGTGTGCATATATTACAAGTCAGTAAATTAATTAAGGTATTCATTAATCGATCGATCCTAGTTGCGAATAAGCTGTCTACGATGCTCCTCCCAATCTTTCAAATATCATCGAAAGCCATTCCCTCTTTTAATTGTCGCTGACAAAGCGTTTTAGCCTTTGAAATTATCTCAAAGAATGATCATTTCATGATTGTTGAACCTAATTCAGTAATTGGCTTTGCCGATCAGAGGTCTTAATAGCTCTCAGCAAAACATTTGAGATGCATCTTGTGTGAAATAAATTAGTGACAAATGTTAAAAGGTTACGCGATATACGAGTACTCATCCGCGCTATTTGCAGTACGTTCGATATATTGTTTATCTATCAGTGTTTCAATGCACTTCTTAATCATTCCAATAGAAGGTGCAAAGGTAACTTTCGATTGACTCAATACCTAAAATAACATAGTTACATTAAATTAAACACCGCTTCACCAGACAGCTGACAAGTGCGGTTCATATCAAACTCTCAAAATCGTTAAACTCACCTCTTGTATAAGCTGATTGTGTCTCAACAGTTTACGGCTCTTCATGATGCGAACTATGGCTGCTTGCAAGAACATTTTTCTGTCCTCGTCCACACTACGATGCGTGGCCTCCGCGTCCTGCGGCGCATCTCGTTGCAACACACCAGTTACGCGGAATTTGGTTCTCTTGTTGGAGTAGTCGAAATTGAGTGTAAGGATGGTGTCCTCCTCCAGTTCGCTGGATTCCTCCGTGGATTTGTTAAGAATCTTGCAATCTACGAGACTGGCGGCGTGCTTGACCAATTGGTCGTGTGACAGACGTAACGATGCTGCCGCCTCTCTGCACGGTATCGCGTCGCAGTGCTCGAAAAGCAGCAGTAACGCCATTTGATATGTCTGCACGGTGACCAAATACGATTTCTTCAAGTAATTAAACTTGAGCTCGCCCTGGCTTAAATGGTGCAACCACGTGAGTTTTCGACCACTGAACTGCATGTGATAGAATGTTTCGAAAGCCTGTATAGACTTTTCTAGTTGCTGCGGAACGTGAAACGGCCCAGGCGACGGCGGCAGGGCGAGCGGCCAAGCGCCGGCTTGTAACACTTTAACTCCGAAACCCGTGCCCAATTGATTCTCTCCGTCGCCTTCCCGTAAGGTTGCCGTAAATTTCGCGTTGAGATCCGCCGAGACGGACATGTCCGTAAACATGCGATGAAGCTTGTTCGTGAACTCGTAACCGCACGCACGCTTCAAATCGTCGATCATCATCTCCTCGGCGTCCATCGATTGCGACTGCTGATGTATCAATCGCTTTGCCAACATACGCGAGTAAAATTTTTGAAATACATCTTTATCGTCGACATACTTGAACACAGTTATGGAGCGTCTCAATTTGTCTTCGATCTCGCTCTCGGACGCTGCCTTGGGTGACTTTTTCAACAGAGAGTCGCAATATTTCGCCAGCTTAAAAAACCAATATACATTATATTATAATTTACTAATAAAAATCGTACTCTAAGACGAAAATATTATATATATATCGTCTCTATAAAATTTACCAATTCTGGTGCTCGGACCGGCTGCTTTGGAGCGGGCCTGTAGTTTACAATGGCAGAGCAAGCTTTATCAAGAGCACCTACAAAACTCTGATCTCCTTTGAACACATCTCTAATCAGTTCCGAATATTTAGAATGTACATTTAACATGCTCTCCACAAATTGCGTGTATACCTGAAATTAGAAAATCATATTTTCTCTATATAGTTAGACACAAATCCATATGTTAATTAGAATGTTCAGATATTTTAAATATTTAAGTGTTATATATTTACATTTTCTCCTTGTAAAGGTCCGATTGCCTGTAATCCTTGTTGCGTAATGTGACGAGTGAGTTTTTGTACAAGTGGATCTAAACCTCCTGGCAAAGGCCTCAGCAGTGGATAAAGAAGAGCCAGATCTCGTTTACTCTCATTTTTTATCATGATTTCTGCTTCCGCATGGAGCCAATCGGCTTGCGCATCTACCATTTTCTCCTCACAACACGCTCTTACCTATAGTAAAATATTACTGCTATATCATTTACCACCTCAAACTCATCGATTTTGAAAGTTTGCGCAAAGAATGAGAGCGTACCTTTGGTACAGAACTCTTGTGAAGGAATTTATGCGCACGTGCTTCCTCTTGATTGAGTCTCCACGTTACTTTTTCCATGTAACGCGTAACGTCCAACTGTTGCAGCAGCGACATGGCTTCTGCCATGTAAAATTCTTTGCTTGCTTTCAAGAAAGGCTCCTCGAAGGCTTCTTGATACAACTAGCCAAAAGATAAAAGTCAATTTAATAATTCTATCTCTCGAAAGAAAAAAATTTTTTTGTCTCGTAAAAAAAGACTTTAAGCAATAAAAGCTTAATTATAGTAATAATATATTACATTTAATTGTCCCTTCATCTTGTATTCCTCCACCCGAACGAAGCTCTGTATAACACCACAAATAACGTCGGTCGGGGCAAGCAATTTCGAATCTCTATCGGCGTCGATACATACAAGTAGAAGTGAGACGAGCTTTTCTCTAAGCGGTATTATCATTTTTTTCTTCCAAATGTCCAAACCTAGCTCACCAATCTCCATCTGCTCTTGGCACTCTTCGTCCCTATTCGAACTCGCGCCATAGATGAGTTCCGCCTCCGAGAGCTTCTGTTTTTTAATGTGCTGTTGATTGAGGTATAAGTACAAGCTATGTAAGTAATAAATGCCCTGCGAATACTCTGTCCAGGCTCGATGATACGCCGTAAGTAGATCCGTATTGTCGTTGTATGAATCAACTTCTACCAATAAATGGTCTACGTGGTTAACCAGAAACCTCTTTGTCTCGTCATATAAACGATCTGCCAGTGGTTCGGGATACGCGACGCACAAAGAATAAACATCACTGCAATGATATATAGCAATATATTATACATTCAATATATTTTTTTATGTTTTTCGACAATTAAATATAAGATTCTCAGATTTCATTTTTAAATACCTAAATCTATCGTTCCATATAGCACGTGGGATATTTGCTAACGTTATCACTCCTTTGACAGTCTCTTGTAGTTCATGCCAGGTCTGATTAAAATCCACTTTTTTAGGTTTTAGTGACATTCTTTCCACAAATCACTGGTTACTTGTTCTTAAACTCAATAGCTTACTAATTCCGCAAGCTAAACTCACTGACGCTATAAACCTGCAAAACAACAAAATAATGAGATTCATAATTCTCTTGCAATCTGTATGAAATACACGTTTAAGCATTTAAAAAAGATTTGATTTATTTGAAAATTATCTTAATATTTTTGAGAATTTAACAAAAGCTATGCACCAAGAGTACATTCCAAGAATAATCTTCGGAGTGTGCATAAAGACTGAGTTTACGAGACTTTGTCCGAATGTTTTGCAAATCATCGATTTAAAAATAACATAAAAGTAAAATATATACACTGCACACATTCACATCTCATGGCCGCTCTAATTCTCTCCCCTGCCTTGTCTGCACTGCCTGTCAATTTATATAGCGAGCAAACACTTCCGCGATAGTCTGGACTCTGAGTGAACCTTAATAACGTGCAATAAACACACTCGGACATAAACATACGTCCGTTCAAAATCGTGCACTATAATGGCGCATAGTTTTGTTGCGAAATATCGATTGCGATTAATGAGAGATATTCTACGAGATGTTCGAACGCGACGAAATTACGACGATCTAGGCGCGTGCATCCGCCATCAGGCTGACACAGCTGACTGGCTCGAGATGGTCCGCGCGCGTGTTGCGTGCCATCACTAACCAAGAAATTGCACGAGGATTCGTGCTCCAGGTTCCAGTGCTAATCCTCGTCCGCAACGACGATCGCGCGATCGTACTCCGCAAGTACGAAGAACCGTACTACTGGGCCGTTTATTTTTGGGGCGGGGGCGCGAATCATTCCCTGCTGCGGCGAGATGCATGACATTCGCGACGACTCGGACGCATTTTCGCGGGGCGAGAGGATCAGAGGGACGAGGGGAGAGGAGTCGAAACGGGTCGTTTTCGCTGTCACGGTTCGCGCGCGCCAAATCGAGAACGCTCTAGATTTTCTCGAATCTTTTCGAGATGAGCGATTTTTTATTTCTCTTCTATAAAGCCACGAAATGTCTTAGTTTCAAGTACCACTCTCCGTGTTCCTACTCGCGAGATTCTCAATAACATTGCACAGCCATGCTCCTTTTTTTAATAAGAATGTAAATGGGTACAATTTCTCTCTCTCTCTCTCTCTCTTAGGATATGTATGTACATTCGATGTCGTATGTGTTTCCAGTCTGTCACATATGTAGCGCAAAGAAAACGTACCGAATATAAGAAACGTCAAATGAGCCATATTGTTATAGGTCAAATATTGGCCAATCAAACGCTACTTTATTCTGACGAGTAGATTTTCGAACGCATAATGAAATCGTGTTGTCAGAGAGAGGAACAACTATACTTTTATATAGTGCATGGTCGTGACTCGCATTTCGATGCTTCCGATTCCGATTCTGTCTGACCTAACTGACAAGTTTTGCATTGCGAATTATTAATATTTACATCGTAGAATTGTTATATATACATCGGAGCAAAAATGGTGAGCATTTATTTATTACAAATATATTTTTGGCTTTTTTCGTTTAGTTATCTTAAAGAAGGATTTATCTTTTAAATATCATATAAAATACTCTGAAAACAAACTGGAAATAGTTTATTGGAGGTTACATTACTGTCAATTGTACGGATGACATTGCATGTTTCGCGATAAATATGAGAGAAAGCTGAAAGTGATCGCAGTATATTATATATTCTTTTATTGCATTTTATACATTAATTTTAATTTATATAACTTTTTCTTCTAGAGTATTCTCGCGTACAATGGCGGTGCTGTGATAGCCATGAAGGGCAAGAATTGTGTTGCCATAGCGGCTGATCGTAGATTCGGTATACAAGCGCAAACGATTATGTGCGATTTTCAAAAAATTTACGAGATGGAACCACACCTGTACATCAGTCTGCCCGGGCTTGCCACTGACACCCAGACTGTCATGGAGAGGCTACGCTTTCGCTTGAATCTTTATGAATTGAAGGAGAATAGAAAGATTCATCCTAAAACGTTTACCGCGATGGTCTCGAATCTTCTGTATGAAAAGAGATTTGGACCATATTTTGTAGAACCCATAATTGCTGGGTTAGATCCTGTTACACTTGAACCATTCATTTGCAATATGGATTTAATAGGATCCAGAAACATATCTGAAGATTTTGTAGTGGGTGGAACATGTACAGAGCAATTGTATGGTATGTGTGAATCGCTTTACGAACCGAATTTAGAACCCGATGAACTGTTTGAGACTGTCAGCCAAGCTTTAGTCAATGCCTTTGATCGGGACGCGATATCTGGATGGGGTGCTGTTGTTTATATTATGTAAGTATGATAATACTTGTACATAAAATAAATTTGTGACAATGCATTTGACAATATTTATACTTATGCATATTTTTTATACATAAATTGAATACATATTTTGTTTCAGAGAGAAGGATAAGGTCACAAAGAGGACTATCAAAACGCGAATGGATTAAATACAATCTTTTTTTACATCAATATGCTTGGCAAACATTTCACAATTATTATTGTAATTAAGTCTAAGAAATGGAAACAAAGCTTACAAGATTTTTTAATTAAATACCTAATACCTTTTTATTTTTAAATATCTGTTGAAATTGATTATAAGAAAAAATTAAATTATTTATATCTTATATTGTTTTAAGTATATATGTTACATTATTTTTTCATAAAATTTTGCCTTTCTATTTTATTAACTTGATAATATATATAAGTAAAGTTTTTAAATAATTTTATTTTTTGTAAGATATAAAAATGGAAAATTCTTTTTTTTTATTTTTTATTTACAAAAGTATAAAAGTAGACCTAAGTATCACGTGCAAAAATGGTACAAAGCGCAGACCATTTTGTGTGTGTGTGTGTGTATATATATAATCAGTAAATTGTAATATGTAATTTTTTATTTTATCTCAACTTAAAAAAAATTTTTTTTGATCGTTTAAATTTCAATTTTCAATGCATGATCTGATACGGGCTACCCCTCCTGTCATTTGCCCTTGCCAATATCAACAGTTAATGCTCCGTTTATGTATTTTACATGTTATAATCTGTGTATTATTTGGCCGTGTTCCAAAATTCACTGCCAGTACTGCAAATCTATAATATACGTTACGTAAACTATAGATTTTCACTACTGGCAGTGAATTTTGGAACACGGCCATATGGCAGAGTCGGAAAAAGGAGGAGCCGCGTTCGTCCACGGTGTATGAACATTGTCGTATGTCAATGTTTTAAGATGGCGGACACGAACGAGAAGTTGTTGGCGGAACTCCTCAAAAAGTCTGGAAACAACGTGTGCGCGGACTGTGGGGCCAAGAGTGAGTGCGTTCCGTAAGAAGGTTCCATTTACCTTCGTCGTGGACGAGCGAGACGCGTGCAATTCGCGTACGTTCGATTTAATCTACGAAAAATCGTCGTGTAACCTTCGAGAGACGTGTTTGTTTTTATATCGTAATATTTAAATATTGCAATTGTGCAATCGCGCCAAGTGTTGTTGATCTCGGTGTTGATTGTGATTCGCGTAATGCCTTCATTTAACGTCGTGGTAATTAATCGCGGATTTCGACATCAAGCAAATTTAATCGCTCGTGTGATAAGTAACATCCTGTATCGAAACGATAGTGATCTTTACCGAGAACGGGCGTGATATCTGGTTTTCTTTTTAATTTTATTTTAAGTAAAACTAAGCATATTATTGTTTTACTAATCGTACTGTTATTACACATTTCAGATCCAGAATGGGCGTCTTACAACATAGGTATATTTGTTTGTACAAGATGTGCCGGCGTACACAGATCTATGGGAGCACATATATCGAAAGTGAAGCACTTAAAGTTAGATAGATGGGAAGATTCTCAAGTGAATAGGATACGCGAAGTGGGTAATACCGCAGCGAGATTGCATTATGAGGAACGTGTACCTTCCTGCTATCGTAGACCAAGCCCAGATTCCCCACAGTGAGTTATCAAGTATTTCTTGTGGTTTTCCTGTTTCAGTTTATTATCTCTGATGACATATTATTCGCTTTATCAATTAACAGTGACAGATTATAATTAGACATTAAATTGTATATTTCTATCAAAATTTAATATTAAAGTGCTTGTGTTAATAGGAACTAAGTTTTGAAAATTATTAGAGTTTTAGTCGAACAATGGATACGAGCAAAATATGAGAGGGAAGAGTTTTGTCATCCCGAAAGACAAAATAACTATGTGTCAGGATTTATGGAAGGATTTTTAATGAAACGCGGAAAGGAAGATTCACGTTATCATCCTCGAAAATTTGTACTCTGTGAGCTGTTGAAGGATCACAAGACATGAGTTCTGTTATATGACCGCATCTTATGATATATCTTGCTCTGCTTCTCATTGGCCGTGTTCCAAAATTCACTGCCAGTACTGCAAATCTATAATATACGTTACGTAAACTATAGATTTTCAGTACTGGCAGTGAATTTTGGAACACGGCCATATGGCAAAGTCGGAAAAAGGAGGAGCCGCGTTCGTCCACGGTGTATGAACATTGTCGTATGTCAATGTTTTAAGATGGCGGACACGAACGAGAAGTTGTTGGCGGAACTCCTCAAAAAGTCTGGAAACAACGTGTGCGCGGACTGTGGGGCCAAGAGTGAGTGCGTTCCGTAAGAAGGTTCCATTTACCTTCGTCGTGGACGAGCGAGACGCGTGCAATTCGCGTACGTTCGATTTAATCTACGAAAAATCGTCGTGTAACCTTCGAGAGACGTGTTTGTTTTTATATCGTAATATTTAAATATTGCAATTGTGCAATCGCGCCAAGTGTTGTTGATCTCGGTGTTGATTGTGATTCGCGTAATGCCTTCATTTAACGTCGTGGTAATTAATCGCGGATTTCGACATCAAGCAAATTTAATCGCTCGTGTGATAAGTAACATCCTGTATCGAAACGATAGTGATCTTTACCGAGAACGGGCGTGATATCTGGTTTTCTTTTTAATTTTATTTTAAGTAAAACTAAGCATATTATTGTTTTACTAATCGTACTGTTATTACACATTTCAGATCCAGAATGGGCGTCTTACAACATAGGTATATTTGTTTGTACAAGATGTGCCGGCGTACACAGATCTATGGGAGCACATATATCGAAAGTGAAGCACTTAAAGTTAGATAGATGGGAAGATTCTCAAGTGAATAGGATACGCGAAGTGGGTAATACCGCAGCGAGATTGCATTATGAGGAACGTGTACCTTCCTGCTATCGTAGACCAAGCCCAGATTCCCCACAGTGAGTTATCAAGTATTTCTTGTGGTTTTCCTGTTTCAGTTTATTATCTCTGATGACATATTATTCGCTTTATCAATTAACAGTGACAGATTATAATTAGACATTAAATTGTATATTTCTATCAAAATTTAATATTAAAGTGCTTGTGTTAATAGGAACTAAGTTTTGAAAATTATTAGAGTTTTAGTCGAACAATGGATACGAGCAAAATATGAGAGGGAAGAGTTTTGTCATCCCGAAAGACAAAATAACTATGTGTCAGGATTTATGGAAGGATTTTTAATGAAACGCGGAAAGGAAGATTCACGTTATCATCCTCGAAAATTTGTACTCTGTGAGGCGGAGGATACACTCAAGTATCATGTCAAAGAAAATAAGGTGATTCAAGTGAGATAGATGTAATTCGAATCAAAATACATGTCAATAACATGATTTTATATTTATTTCAAGGAACCCAAAGCTGTGTTAAGGATATCGGAATTGAATGTGGCGTTTGCACCACCTAAAACTGGCAATCAAAACAGTCTTCAGCTATCTTTTATGAAGGATGGTACAACGAGACATATCTATGTGTATCACGAGGATCCGGAAGTAATCACGAATTGGTACCTCGCAATCAGATGCGCGAAGCTGCATCGATTACAGGTTGCATATCCGGGTGCAACTGAAAACGAGTTATTGTCGCAACTCACGAGAGATTTTGCACGCGAAGGTTTTCTATGGAAAACCGGCCCAAGACATACGGACGCTTATAAAAAAAGATGGTTTACCTTGGATGGCAGAAAACTCATGTATCACGACGATCCCATGGTTTGCATATTTTAAATTTTATTTCTCGTATTACTCGATCGATCTACTTTGTTATCTTTTTTTTTATCTTACAAGGACGCACATCCAAAGGGTGAAATCTTCCTAGGACACAGTTCCGAAGGTTTCGCGGTTAAGATTGGTGTACCGCCGGGTGCTAGAGACCAAGGATTTTCGTTTACTCTCGAGACACCCGATAGGACTTATCTGCTCTCTGCGCAAAGCGATGACGACAGATCGCAGTGGATTCATGTGATCCAAAAAGTGATTGATAAACCATTAACGCCACAGGACGCAAACGGTAAGTAAACATATAGAAACCTAAGCGCGAGAATCATACAATGGTCGCGTTCAGCAAAGAAAGCGCTCAATTATCGTCTTGTCAACACTCGACGTTGATTTTTTGGTTCTAAAAGTAAGAGCCAATCGCATTCGATTGCTACTGAGCGGTTTTCTCTGCTGAACGCCGCCATTGATCATTCATAGATTGGTGTACCGCCGGGTGCTAGAGACCAAGGATTTTCGTTTACTCTCGAGACACCCGATAGGACTTATCTGCTCTCTGCGCAAAGCGATGACGACAGATCGCAGTGGATTCATGTGATCCAAAAAGTGATTGATAAACCATTAACGCCACAGGACGCAAACGGTAAGTAAACATATAGAAACCTAAGCGCGAGAATCATACAATGGTCGCGTTCAGCAAAGAAAGCGCTCAATTATTGTCTTGTCAACACTCGACGTTGATTTTTTGGTTCTAAAAGAGCCAATCGCATTCGATTGCTACTGAGCGGTTTTCTCTGCTGAACGCCGCCATTGATCATTCATATGTTGATCTTTATTTATATTATAGTAGCGGCACGACTCGTAAGAAAGCGCACAGCCAGCGGAACAATCAATATATTTTCGTCCACAAGATAGGGTTGGATTCCTCTTAGACGTCTTTCTTAATTATTCACCGATAATCATACGATTGAATCGTATTATCGAAATAGACAAATATATGACTCAGAGCACGCGCGCAAGAATACGCAACAGTCGGGCTTATTTACTCGTGCTGTTGCTGTCGAGTCATGTATTTACTCGTATATCTGCGCACGATAACGTAGTTTATATAGAGACATACACAAGACTGCTCTCAAAGAAGAAGTTGATAAAACGCGGATATATAAACTCCAAGCACCAATCGCTCGTCAATCATAACACTCTTGTGTTGAAAGCCAAGCTTGTGTCGCTTACCGTCGAGTAGGTAGACAGTATCATAACGATATGGAATTTTTACTTAGCAATAATATTGCATGTGATACTTGTCTCTGATAGCATGTAACATTCAGAATTCGAAAGAAATTCTCTTCCAGAAGTTTAATTCAATTTGTTACAGACTAATCTGATTGAATGACAAGGCTGGCTTATAATAGAAAATATTTCAAAGATCACCCAACAATGTTCCATATACAGTATTTTATTTCTGTTTTTTTGTATCTATATTTCTTAATCTCAGCTGGTTTGTTTAAACCATCTCTCATTGACATAAGGCTGCAAGTGACAATGATATATTCTGTATATAAATAATAAATTCTGAGGGCCTAGCATCTTCATTCTCATTATTTTTTTGAAGAGAAATAACTATACTCAATCCCAACACAACACGTTGTGTTCCTGTAAATAAAACTATCTTTGGAAATAAATGCCAAACATTTGTCTACATATGCTAATTATGCATTAAATATTATTCTGATATCTCTTGGAATAGTTTCATCGATAGCAACAACATTATAATATCAAGCCAAAAGAAATGGATAAGCTTCCAATCTTAATGAGAGTATCTTATTTACTTCTTCAGGTACATAATGTTGATATGTACGCATAACGTGGATTTTCAATATTTTATTTTCTCTGCTCATATTCAACGATAGATACGTTCTTTAAGTAACAGAGAATATTGATCCAGCAGAAGGAAGCAATACTAACATACGTCACTCGTAAAGACGGCGGAACTAGCATAAAGTTCACAAGTTGTACCGGTAGCCAATATCCGCACGAAGTCTGGAAGAAGAAAACAAATATATATATAATCCTTGCGATCTGACTTTTGCGTCACGAAACGAACCTGAAAAGTGTGCAGAAACTTGAGTTTGCATTCTCGAAAGATATCCAACTTAGCTTCCATCAAACTCATACCTGCAAGGTTTAATTGTAATTTATATAAAAAAAAAGATAAATTGAATTTTGCATGAAGTGCACAAGAAAATACAAACTAATAAAAAATAACATAAGTAACGGCGGTGTGAAGATAAATTGATCCGCAAAGAGCTTCATCAGCACAGTTCTAACAGATGTTCCGCTATAAAATGTGTCGAGCCATTTGTACCTGTCATTATAACTTCTGTATTAATTCATAAATTCATTAAGAAGTCAAATGAGAGAACACTTTACATCAATCCAATGATCGGAATACCATCTATATAATATTGGTCCGGCCAAGAAGCAGCCATAGATTGCATATCTCTTCAACTGGGACCAATTATAATTCGTTGATTGCATCGAAGTATCTTCATCTACAAGATTCAATGTTTCACAAAATCTTTGTACCTGCATTAATATCGGCCCTTTGGTATCGGCGGAATTTTTCGATTTTTCGGCAATTGGCAGCTATACACAATTACAATCCACTCATTAGCATGAACAATATTGCAAAAAATTTCTCTGCATTCATGTATTATCTCGAGACAAAAAATCCAATATATACTTCACCTTGGATGCATTACTGAAACTCTGTCGAATAAACTCGGCACCCGTGAAGAAGGAACCATATACTATCGAGTTGTACAGCAATGGTCTCTTCTGCATAATATTTATCATCCGAAGAACTTTCGTCACCGACATATTTCTTTTTACTTAGCAAATCACAAGTCTTATCGTTTGTTTCACGTTTCGTGGTATGCTATCAGGTAAGGTAAATATTACTATTGCATAACTGATAGAAGTGCTTGAATGGATGGTGCCACTTTGAAGGGTGATACTGATACTATCATGTAGACGCCGCTCGTAACCATTTAGATTCAATTGTGTTCAATCACTGATTTAACTACGTCAATTATGTTACATCAACATCCCAGTGGTTCTACCAAAAATTACTATTATACATTGTATATTATACATTGTAGTGAGAAGAAACAGAAGCATACATTAAGAACTTTTATATTATCAAAATTTTTTATCCATATATATATATA